TACTGTCTTTGGAGCTTTCTCATCTAGCAGCTGCAGCTGCTACAGCCCATACTAGCAGCAGGCCACTGAGCACTCTTCTGGTTTTCTGCATCTGTCCGTGCAAGCAAAACCCCTTAAAACTTACTTAGGACAGGAAAGGCCCTTAGATTTCTCTGAGTGCTTTTTCACTGAACTGAACTCTGACTTCACTTCAAGGACAAGAGGAACTTCTAGAATAAACCAAGTGAAACTGAATTATGGTTGTTATATTTTTTTAAAGCTCCTATTACATGTTTTCCAATCAACATGCTCCAAAGGAGAGCGCAGTGTGGGAACTGGAGCAGTTATGTGAACAGTGCTGTGCTATTAGCTCAGGATGGTACTTTTCTAGAAGTTATAGGATTGCTCAGGTTGGAAAAGACCTCAAAGATCATCGAGTCCAACCACAACCTCACCATACTACCCTGACTCCAACAACCCTCCACTAAATCACGTCCCTGAGCACCACATCCAAACGGATTTTAAACACATCCAGGGATGGTGACTCACCCACCTCCCTGGGGAGCCTATTCCAGTGCTTCACAACCCTTTCTGTACAGAAGTGTTTCCCCATATCCAACCTAACCTTACCCTGGTGCAACTTGAGGCCATTTCCTCTTGTCCTGTAACCTGTCACCAGTGAGAAGAGACCAACCCCACTCTCACTGTAAGCACCTTTCAGATACTGGGAGAGAGCAATAAGGTCTCCCCTCAGCCTCCTCTTCCTCAAACTAAACTGCCCCAGTTCCTTCAGTAATTCAGTGTGCAGTAAGTCAGTGTGGAAGAAGGCCTGTAAACTGAGTGCTTTGTGTGACTGGGATTTTGCACTTTCCATTCTCAGCAAATAGCAATCGCAAGGGAAGGCGACTTGCTGACCAAGGAACGCCTCTGCTGCGGCCTGTCCATGTTTGAGGTCATCTTGACGAGGATCCGATCCTTCCTGGACGATCCCATCTGGCGTGGGCCCCTACCCAGCAATGGTGTGATGCACGTGGACGAGTGTGTAGAATTCCACCGCCTCTGGAGCGCGATGCAGTTCGTCTACTGCATCCCCGTGGGAACGCACGAGTTCACTGTGGAGTACGTATGGGCAGCTGCCGGCGGCGCACCTGTGCCAACAGCCCTTCCTTTGTTCCTTCTGCACCAAATAGAGGGGTTTGTTTGTGTGTCTGCTTACTGCAAAGCCAAGGGAAGCGATGCGATCGCAGGCAGGGGCTCGTAACGCGTGAACACAGAGATGATTGTATCTTTAAAGAAAATGACCCTGTATTTTAAGTGCTGGCAGAGTAGAATGAATGATCCCATGACAAGCAGGCCCTAGCACACGTTGTTCAATGGTAGCCTTACCATTACAGAAGCCGAATGCAAATAAAATAGCTGGACGTGTGCAAGCGTCCCTAGCCAGTACTTTCTCATCTGACTCCTCTCTGCAAGGATGAGCATTTGAAAGTTAACACGTTCATACGGTTCTTGGGTTTGGTAATCTGTGCATATCCAGATTTTGAAAAACTGCTGCTGTCGAGTGCTTCTCACTGACCAGCTATGGGGGAAATGACCTTTGCTTCCTTTCCTGTCTGCAGCCCAAAGCAGAGTGACAGTGCAGAATTCCCCCTTTGTTTTCTTTGAAAATGAAATGTATGCTGCTAGAGCCAAAGTGGGGGAGGGGGTAAATGTCCTTGAAGTAACTAACTGTAAGTTGTAGGAAAGCAGAAGGTGGAGGCTTCCTTTTTGTGTGTGTATGTGTTAAGCATTCATTTGCATCACTTGTGGAACCTGGAAAGCAAAATTGATCTACTAGACTTCACAGTATTTTTTAGATTCATGTTTGTCATATTCTGGAGTTATTTAATATGTGTTTTATTATAATGGCTGATTCCTAAACGTTTCCTGTAGCTGTGTTTGAAGGCTCTTTTTGTTCTGGTTTCTATTTCAGGCAGTGCTTTGGAGATGGCCTGCACTGGGCTGGCTGCATGATCATTGTGCTCTTGGGACAGCAGCGTCGCTTTGACGTGTTGGATTTCTGCTACCACCTGCTGAAAGTCCAAAAGCATGATGGCAAAGATGAGGTTATAAAGAATGTGGTATGTTGAAAATATTTGTTCTTTCCAGAATGAACAAAAAAATCAGAGCTGTTTGTATTCAGGTGCTTTGCAGATGTACTGATCGCTTTTTGGAATGAAATGTTGAAAATGAGAGTACAAAGGATTAGATGCTAATACTGGAGCCTGAAGGCTGTAATTACTTGGCTGTAAGGATTTTCTGAACGCTGCTCATCTCCTACACTTGCACTTGGATCATGATCACATGAAGGCAGTTGTAAATTGCCCTTTTTGTACAAAAAGCTGCAGTGTCAGAAACCAGAATGCACCTTGGATTTCTTGATTGCATTACCAGTAATGGGGAAACGTTTGTAACGAAGTGACGTCACAGCATTTGGTGCTTTTCATCTCCAGAGCTAATTGTTGGTTTTTTTTACATTTTGCAGCCTTTGAAGAAAATGGTTGAAAGAATTCGCAAGTTCCAGATTTTGAATGATGAAATAATTGCTATTTTGGACAAGTATCTGAAGTCTGGAGATGGAGAGAGCACACCCGTGGAACACGTGCGCTGCTTCCAGCCGCCCATTCACCAGTCCCTTGCCAGCAACTAGATTTCCTCCCTAATGATACTTTTTGCACCTGGTTAGGCTAAAAGTATGAGAAAGGAGAAAAACAAAATGCCAGCAGGTTGAAGAAATCCTTTTATCTGCCCTTTTCAGTCCACCTGTGCCATCTGAGTGATGCACTGTCCTCTTCACTCTCCAAGCACAGTAACTGTATACAATCCATACTTATTTTTCTAGACTAAAATTTTATATACTTTGATTAAAAGCCTGCAGCTGTAGAGGGTTTGTTCTTGCAGCCTCTTTGCATTCCTTTTCTGAGGTGGCCATCTCAGACCGGATCAGAATAAACATTCCCCCAAGCTATCAAAATAACAGCTGCGGAGGCTAAGGAGGCTTAAGAAACTGGGCTCTGTAGAAAGATTTAGAAACCAATGCCTAATTGTATTAGAGCATTAATTGCTTAATTAGCCTTTATTAAAAAAAAAAAACAACAATGAATTCTGCAGCTGCTTTGTGAATAACTGATTTTTTCAGTCGATTGTTCTTTCTCTACACAAAAGTATTCTGTGATCATTAATTGTGGAAATGAAGGCTGGCTCAGGGGGACTGCTCTACAGTTACTTAAGATGGAGGTGACTGATAGTACTTCTGGTATTTCTAAGTGGCAGAACTTTAACTGATTAGAATGGAATCTCTGTTTTTTCCTCGTAAGCGCTTCTTCCCCAGCTTGTATTTTGGTTGGAGATACAAACATGTTTACAAGTGATAAGGAGTTCTTGTTTCTCCTTGAGGAAGGAGAAAAAAATGAGCTAAAATTCCTCACAAAACAGAAGATAGAGATTTGCCAGGCAGGCTGCAAGTAAATTTACTTTGATGCAGGTTTTCCCAGACTGTCAGTGCTTAGGAGCCACTGTTCTGGCAAGCAGGCACACATGGCTGCCATGGTGCGTGGGAGATGCTTGTCCTTGATTCAAGCTTTTCTTCTACTAGATAAAGAAATGTTTCTTCAAGAAAACTGTTATTTCCTCACAGTGGAGTGCCAGGAAGCCTTCTAGTCAGTCACACATTCCCCTCTGCTTCAGGCTTCAATTAAGGAATTGAAGAAATGCTTAATTTCCTGAGATCATTAGTGGTTTAGAGCCAAGTCTCACATACCCAAGGCTTCATCTTGGCCCTGTGCTACATAAGCAGTTAAGTAATAGAGCTTGGTTTTTGGCTTAAGAACTCCGTAAAAATAATTAATTATGGTGTAATTAAAGTAAATTATAATTCTCACTGGTTAACTAGCAGCATCAGGTGGACTGATCTCTAACATGTTAGAAATAGTAGCATTAGTGTGGATTTAGGATGACATTTTCCCTTTGATGAATATGTTTTCAGACATTACTTCTTTGTTAGTTTCATATTTTCAAAGGTGGCTTATTATTTCATCCACCAGATTTAAGTGTTTTAAAAAAAAATCCACCACCTTCTTCACTTAGTAGAATTGCTCACCTTAAAGGGGAAAAAGAAAGCACACAAAAGGCATAACTGTCTTGTTTTAAATTATCTAACACAAGGGATCTGGAATCCAAAGCATCTATTACAGTATAAAGTAAAATGTTACATGAAATTTTAGCCTGAGTCAGGCTGGTGTTTTGGTACTGGAAGTGGCAGGCAGCAGCCTGGTGCTACTGCTGCACAACCTGCAGTTTTTAGGGTCTTTGGAGGGAGCTGTGCTCTGTACCTGAACAGTAGAGATGTGATGCTCCTTAAAACCAGACAGAAATTCAAATCCTGTTCTTCACCCAGAATTTCAAGGACCTTTTTTCTTGTTTGACATCTTGGTGTCTCTTCCACATATGAAAAGGAAGGCAGCAGAGTCAGTTTCACAGCTGGGAGGTGCTTGATTTCTGTCCTGGTAATAAACTGTACTCTTCAACATTAAGCACTGAAACTGACAAAATGAGAGCAGTAAACAGTTGGCTTCTAGCCTTCCCCATCTATAGGAGGAACGTTGTTATAAAACTACATCACTAATACTTATTTTCTGCCTTTGTGAACTTGCTTAAAAAAATTACCACCAGAACACTGTTTAAGCAGTGATGTTTTGGATTTGTTTTTTTTTTTTATCCACTTTCTGAAGTACTGACAGAGGCAGCAACTGCATTACTGCAAGCAGAACTACTGTTCTGTGATTAGGGTTGGTTTGTTGATGTAAATCCTCCAGGTCTAACAAAGCTTTAGGTAAGTAGGACTTTCAAAGGATTACTGCTGCTCGGTTATAGCTTTCTTCTGCCAAAGGCTGGGACAGCTCCCACTGTGATAAGATGTTACAGCCATTCAGCAGTCATTTGGGGCACAATAAGTACAAAGGATTCAGGCCCACTGCAATCCGTTTACCACCAATGCAGAAATAAAGCCATTTATTTTGGATAAAATTGTCATTAGTGCAATACATCTTGAAACGGAAGAGGGAAATGAAAGTATTTACATAACGTAAGCAACAACACCAGCTGTGGTCTGAGGTCATTTTAGTTATTTTCGTAAAGTAAAAATAAGGCAAATTAAAACCCCCTTCAGTGTTTGTGATCCAAACTAACCGAACTTAAAGATTGTCTACCCACACTGTTAAGAAGTACATGAGGTTCCAGACAAGCTCAGACATTTCACAGCAGGAAAAAAAAAATAAATCCAGAGTTACAGAATTGTTCTTCTCTTATTTAACAAGTAGGTGTTTTCAGAAGGCTGACAGACTTCCATTTCTCCTGGCTGAGAGACTCTCTGTGGATTGTATTTCACTGAGGCAGGTAGAACTTTCTTCATCGTGATTAAAGCAGTCATACGTGCTCAGCAAAGACCCATTTGCTGCTCTGTCATCTTTCCGCAAGGAAACGGGCAAATTTGCTAGGGTGAAGTTAACATCTTTGAAGGCATGCAATAAAAAGATCCCCACGATGATAGTAAGGAAGCCACTGAAGGTGCCAGTAATATCATCAGCCGCCATGTGCTGCCATTCCTTGAACAGGATAGCAGAGCAAGTTAAAACGGACGTCGTAAAGATTACGTAGTAGATTGGAGTCACTATTGAAGTGTTGAATATATCCAGAGCCCTGTTCAAGTAGTTGATCTGCGTGCTCACACAGACGGTAAGGCTTAGCAGCAGAATCCAAGACAAGGGACGTTTCAGCACTGGCTTTCCTGCAAAAAGTTCCTTGACAGCAATGCCCAGGCCTTTCACACAGGAGACTGATAATGCTCCGATGACAGAGCAAATTGTGATGTACACAAGGATGTTGGTCTGTCCATGGCGAGGCCCCACCACGACTATTAGAATTAAAGACACAATGACAACAACTGTTGCGAAGACCACAAAACCTGCATTTGGGGAGAAAAGGCATCTTGTTATTTATGTACTCTATCAAACACCTTAAGGGTAACAAGAAAAAGCACACTAATAAGGCGACTGACTCAGCTTGAATAGAAAAGATAGCAAGTTTCTCGTTACTCCACCAACACTGAAGTTAAAATGATTTTAGTGTGACCTTGCTAAAATAATGAAACTTGGGCACATTATATTTACCACTCTGTCAGCCTGAAGACTCTCTATGGAATCACACTGCAGAACCTAAATCTCTACTCCGCTGTGACAACATGAAGCAGACACAGGACATCTTTGTGGTATCTGAGGTTGGTAATAAAACTCTCTGCTTAGAGGGGAATAAGTACACATCTTTCTGTATTAACTACTTAGAAATCAAGCCAGCATTTTTCTTACCTGGATCACGTAGTTTGTTGGACATTTCATCTAAAGTTTCTACTTCTTCCTCTTGTGGAGCATGAATTACCATCACGGTTGATCCAAGTATACTTAGCAAACACCCTATTTTTCCATGTAGATTAAGTTTTTCATTTAAAAAGAAGGATGACAAAATGGCACTAGGAAGAAGAAAAAATGAACAAAACATGCAATCAGTAATATTTATTTGCTCACCGACTTACAGCTTGATTTGACCATACATGCCAGTTACATACTGGATGTGCACTTTTTGGTGAGCAGGAACACCCTTAATAGCCATAAATCACTTACAGCAATTCCACTGGTTAAGCTTTTATTCAAAACAGAAAATCAACTATGTCACTATCAGGATACTTGCTGCAGGCAGAACTAACTTGTAGGATTTTGCAGCACCTTTTTATGCTGCCTCCCCTGAACTCTGCGTTGAGGCACTTGTAAAAATCAATTTTAAAAAGACAAAAATCTTGAAAATACTCCTGTGTTGTATACAATGTGTTTTTAAAATGGAGAAGGCAACAGTTTTTCACATACTGAGGTGCAAACTGCCGGAGCCATTTTAAAGCAGTCACTTGGAATTTGGAGAAACTTCAAGTTACTTCTGACGTTTATAACTGCTCTTCATTTACAGTTAAGAACAAACCACATTTACTACAGCATATCTCAGGCACTTACAAATATTTAGCTTCACTCTCTGCAATCACACTGCTTTCTGTTAGTATTTCTTACCTTACAAGAACACTGAGAGCTCCTAGAGGAGTCACTAATGTAGCTGGTGCAAAAGCATAGGCAGCAAAGTTAGCTACTTCTCCCGCTCCCACTGCAGAGTAGTAATGATAACAAAAAAGAAGTTAGGGTGTCTTATGCAACAAACGCGTGAATCCATGCAAATCTTCTTGCACACATGAACATGCAGTAAGGGAACAAGGGAAAAATCTAATGGTGGTGTTGGGCTAACAGTACTTGTAGAACACAAAGCGTCCACTGCTATTTTCAACACCAAACAGGCTGGGGGACTACAACAGGCCCTAAAATTAATTCTGCCAAATTAGAAGAGGTGCTTTACTTTGGTGTCCATGTTGTATCTCCCCAGCCTGCTAACTGGAATCATGAACTTTCGCATGGAAGAATCTGCAGTGCCAGGCTACAGGGCAAAACACAGGCTACAGCATACATTAAGTCACAGTTACTTACTTGAAAGAAGTCCAGCCCACCACAGCCACTCCTTAAGGTATGCATGACCACCTTGACCTGAAAGAGTGTTTGTTACTCCATTAAAAATACAGATCAACAAACAGCTGGCTCTGCCACTAATAACACTGCCAAAACATTTTTGTTTGCTCTTAAAAATACAGGCAGTCTTTACTGTCTCTTTTATATGGTCTCTTGAGCTAGAGGAATTGAAATCATTGTCAAGCACTAACGTGCAGATGCTTCTTACAGCCTGCTTTGAAAACTGATTATTTATTTCCTTTTTGTTAGAAGTGGCAGTGATGATCTTACTGGCTTTACAATGAAAAACAGTTCTTTCAACTCACTGTAACAACACAAAAAGCCAAGTTACACATCTCAGAAAAACACTGTGGAAATCAGGTGTGGCTTAGACAATCAACTACATACGTCAGTGTGAAATGCAGTCACACTTCCCCATTCCAAACCAGGCAAAATGAATTGTGTATCTCACACAGAATCAACCATCTTTCAAAAGCAGACAGGACTGCCACTGAATTACAAATATTCAGATTCAGCTTTCTGAACGATCTAAGGATTCTGCAACTATCTGCATGCTCATCGCATGCTGCTCTCAAACCAATATTCTATTACAGCTCCAATGCACTGTAACAATCCCTCATTTCCTTTACAGCCATTGAGGTGTGAGGAAGTGGCTTTTAAAATCTTTAAGACCTTAAGTTGGACCTCTCCCTGCTACAGGCAGAACTCAGACTTGGTTGCTACTAAACACTGCAAACATGAGCCTCATTTAGAAAACCCAGGAACAGGCAGAAGGAAAAGAAAGAATCTAGGTAGTGCTGGCCAGAATTTTATTGTTCCAATCAATACATTGACAGACTGGTGAAAAAAATCGATTCCCAAAATGGTAACGGCTATACTGAAAGTGATTTAATATTGTTTAATTCAGTTCAACAAAATAAAGCTGGAAATGTATACAAGTGTCCATTCACATGGCTTTTTGTGTGATTAATTAATATATTAATCCATAAGTAGAACTGAGCACTGCTTAGAACGTTCCTGGCTTTAAAAAGGCAACAATGAGAGACAAACACTTCCAGCAGCTCCAGAGAACAGACAACACTACAGCGTATCATTACATGTGACTCTGAGTTTTCTACACCATCTCCTGACAAATGCAGTTAAATCCACCCTCCTAGGAGCACAGATACAGTTAAGAGTGCTGGTTCCAAGACCAATTTGCAAAATGAATTCAAGCCTTACCTAACATGGAAAGGAATAGTTTTATAGTAAGTGTCCCTACAGGGCACTGTATGCAAATCTAGCAGTATGTGTCACACGCTGAGTTAGGTGTATTTGACACCAGAGGGAAAAAAACACAACAAAAACACACTGGATAAATATTTTAGGTTCCATATACCTAAAAGTAAGAAGGAGATCATAAATTCAGTAATCTATTAAGCAGTAAAACCAGAATGTTGTCAAGCTTCTTAAACATGCATTTACCTGCTCTCATGGAGCCCTTCCTTGCTAATCGGAGAAGGCCTTTCTTTTTCAGGATGAAACTCCCTCCAATAAAGATGCTGGAGCTCATAGCCAACACCAGCCCAATGCAGAAGTCATATCTCCCACGGGCTTGGCTCATCTCGTAAACTTCTGGGGACTGTCACATTGATCAATGAACAGTAGAGCTTCTGTTACTCAACACAAGGTGATGCAATACTGAAACCTGCACAGAACAAACACGATTAAAATGGTAGAAATGTGTAACACACAGAGGATTCCTCAGCAGTTCGTGTGGCTGGTTCTTCCTGAGAATGGCCTATGGAAAGAAAGAAGTACGGGTAAGCTTGACTCACGGATGAGCAACTAACATCTTTATCTGACCCAGAATATAAAAACAGAAACCTTGAAACATAAAAGCTTCCCAGAAAAGAAAGAAAAGGAAAACTTCTAAGTGATGTGATTTATTTTCCTTTTCCTTACGTACACAGACCTGTGGGCTGCACACCACTTAGCTGACAACACCAAACAAATAATTACTTACATTGAAATTAGTTTGTCAGAGAGCCTGAGAACAGCCACAGCATTTCTTCCACATGAATTCACTAGAGAAAGTGAAAGAAGAGCAGAACAAGTGTCAGATTTACAGCAATTTGCCTGACACAAATGAGCCTGGATGTAAGCACGTGCATGTACTAGCTATAAACAAGGAACAAGAAAATGCCTCTGTTGATGCACTGTACAAAGAACTTCCCACACCTGCATGAAGCATTTTTCTGCTCAGCTACAGCAACTATGTGCTCTCTGCTGAAAAGCACCCACCCAACCTAAGCCTTAGTTATGTAAGACCTTCAATGACAGCTTAGCAAAAAGCACTAACTAGACTGGAGTACAAATGTAGGTTTTACATACTCATCCTCTAGCCAAATACGGAAATTCATTTCAGTGCATCCTTTCTCCTGTTATCTACTGCAATGAAGATCTCCTGGATTTCATCTAATACGTAAGATTTAAATTTAAGATATCTGTATAAATCCTTTTAAAATGAATAAAAACCAAACGCAAAACAAAACCCAACCCAAAGTCCTTTCAAGAAGATTAACGTTCCTCTAGTATGAAGGGAAATGGAAACTATATTTAGGCTTTTATTTTAAGGCTGCTGGTTATTACGAACATTCAGAGAACTGGCTGAAAGGAAGAGAACACACCTATAGATAAAGGTAGTTTTATTTCCTGCAAACACCAATCACAGATTTGCATTGATTTCCCCAAGCAATCATTTTCCACATAATCAGAAGCACTGCATGTGCTGCTGCACGTTGTATTAACAAGCTTTTGACTTTAAAGGGAAAGGGAGCAAAGAACAGGAGGGAAAAAAATGTTTCCATTCAGGTGCTCATTAAAGTCATGGAATTCAGATTCTAATACTGAGAGACAATGCCAGCACCAAGGCAGTGCAATACCAAGCACCCAGGCTCTGGCAGAGATGGGCGTACCAATGCAAGCTTTGGACTTCATAAAAGTACACTGCAAATCTGCCAGGCAAGCTCACAGCTCCAACTCCTGCTCTTGTTTCTTTAAATTTATTGCTTTCTTCCAATACTACCTTTCCCTTTATGCTCTTGCTGCCAACTTCCATTAATTCACTACTCTCCTAGGAAAACCCAGCAGAGAACACGGGTAGGTTAACATTAAAAGTGAACACAGCTCCCCTTGTTTGCACCCTGTTAGGCTGTGAAAAAGCAAAGCAAAGCAAACTTATTCCACAAACACTCAACACAGCACTATCCAAAACGCTACAAGATCGGCAGTTCAAAAAGCTCCAGCCCCCTCTGATTATCCTTGCAGATGTTTCAGTATCTGCTTTTGTAGGAAAAAGTGAAATAAAAGAACTGCAAAGATCTGCTTTAAAAACCAACACAAACAACAAAAAAACCTGAAGTGGATTCATGCATGACTCAAAGACACCTACCAAACAAAACTCATGAGTGAGAGAGCCAGACCACAACAAATCACCTCACTAACAGCTCCAAACACTTCCTGGCTTTGAACTGCCTCTTCTCCCAGGCAATAAACAGGGCCTGAGGAGACGGCCGCAAGTTGTATCAGAGGAGGTTTAGATTAGACATAAGGAAGAACTTTTTCTCTCAGGGCGGTCAGGCACTGGAATGGCTGCCCAGGGAGGTGGTGGAGTCGCCGTCCCTGGCAGTGTTCAACAGGCATCTGGATGAGGAGCTGTGAGATATGGTTTAGTGCTTGTGGTGGCAGTGGGGATGGGAGGACGGTTGGACTAAATGATCTTGTGGGTCCTCTCCAACCTTGTGATTCTATGAATTCAGAAGACCAACAGAAGCTACTCCAGTTATATTACCAATGAGAATAATTTTATTGGTGTAGTTTTTTATTAAAACAGAGCTCAAACTGACAAAATCACCTTTCTTTGGAGGAAGAATCTGATTATTTTTCACATTGCTGTTTTTTCCTAAGCTTAGTTGCCCTCGCAGATGTGGCCAGTCCTATTCTGGCTTGGATTGGAGTGCCGTACTTTCATGCATAGTTCACCCTGATGTCTCCTTTCACTGGCTATTTCTGCAGCAGGGTTGTGGCAAATCCAGCTCCTCACTGAAGAGGCTCACCAGGAGGGAAGGAAGGTTGGTGGTGGTCTTAGTTGGACTTGTAACTGTTCTGCAAAGATTCTTTAACTGAATTCACAACTGATTTTAACACTGAGTATATCGGGGAAATAGCATAAATAACAAGCAAAGCTGCTGACAAGCTAGAGTGAATCATGGAATCACAGAATGGCCTGGGTTGAAAAGGACCGCAATGATCATCTGGTTTCAACCCCCTGCTATGTGCAGGGTCAGCAACCACCAGACCAGGCTGCCCAGAGCCACATCCAGCCTGGCCTTGAATGCCTCCAGGGATGGGGCATCCACAGCCTCCTTGGGCAACCTGTTCCAGTGCATCACCAGCCTAACACAAGGAAACATTTCTTTTTCCTCTTTGCTCAGAAGTCCTTTTCTCTCCACAGGAGCACAAGGTACGGAGCTTAAAAGATGTTAAATATTTATTGTAACAAATTAGCTACATATTCAGAAACATTAGAAGTGATTTTGTGAGATGAAATAATATTTTACATTTGAAAGTAGATAAGCTTAAGAAAGTATGAGGGAGTTATCAGCCAAAGAAAATTAATTATCACCTCTAATTGTTGTACTTTATATGAAAGCAATAATTACAGTCAGTAAAAGTTAACATGGTGGATTGTTCTAAGTTTGCCTACTTGGCCACCAGCCCTCAAGAGCTAAGTAGACTGTCTTTTCTCTGAGAAATAGCCTAAATGTACACTAAAATCTCTGAATGCTAGAATTCTGGATTTTCTCTCCAAAGCCTGATCTTTTTAACTGTGAATGAGATTATATCAATAAACTAAGGCAGACTTTAACAAGCCATTTACTTTAACCATCTGCCCAAGTACAGCATCACTTAATGCTGCTCCTCACTACAGGCAATTCAAACACTCTTCTCCAAGGAAGATTCTTATGAATGAAACTACACAAACACCACCTCCAAACTCTTTTCTGCAGAACTACTGTTTTATGAACTGCATTTGTTTAGCCAGTTCCACCTGGCTGGACGTAATAACTTTCATTTCCTCCTACAGAAACATCTCCTTTTACAGAAATGTTTCCTGAAAATATTCAACAGCATTTACTCACTGGCAACCCTTCCCTGCTCACTGCCATTAATTACCACTCTTGTTTCGGCCACACCACCAACACTACATGACTCACCAGAAGGATCTGAAAACAACAGGCCTGTTTTGATATGACATTACTAAGAGTTACCCCAGGTACAGCTGCTCACCATTTTTTATTTTTATTTTTATTTTTTAACTTTTCTGCTGTCTTTTCAATTCTGCTCACCTGTAAGAGCTCCATAAGAAATTTTGTGTTTCTGAATTTCAAATAGTGCACCTGCTTAATGCCCTCTCATCCACAAAGCCTTATGTGGAAGAAGAGTGGGTTCAAGCAACCAAAGCTTAAACAAGTGTACAGTGACTGTTATTCTTCTTCCCTTCCAGAGGCATAAATCCACAGGAACCAGAAACACCCCCTAACAGCACAAGTGTTCAGTAATGTACCCTTTCAAGGCTTGTTACATACATACCAATTTGTTCCAAAATCCAGAGGCATTCGCTTCTTAAGTATCTCCAGTGTTAGGTTTCTAAAATATAAGTTAATAAGAATATTGATTGGTACATTAAGAATTCAGCTAGAAAACCCCAATGTCCATAACTTAATGCTAATCTCACCTTCATGCACGACACACAGAAGTGTACACAGTCTCACCTATGCTTCACAAAGGGAGCTCACACTTTTAAAAATGCCTGAGTAACACAGTAGAGAGATTTTCCAGTTCAACATTCCCTTCAATCGCCTCATGTGGAACCTTACAGTTCTCCCATCCCTTTGCTTTTCACTTCACTAATTGAAGAAATGAGCGTGCAATCTAAGCCATTCCTTAGGAGGGAACATGCTAAAAGTTGAACTGAAATACTGTTGTCATCCCTTCATATTTGTTCAGTAACTTAAGTCCTGAGCACTTTTATGGTAAGAAAAACTAAAGCTTCAAGCATTGGCTTTGGCACAGTGAGCTTTTAGAAGATATTAATATACAGAACTCTTAAGTTGGGGAAAAAAGTAACAACGCAGATATTCTCAGTAAGATTCCTTAAATCTGCAATGTACAGGTAACTCTGTAACCCAAGTCTTCCTCCTCAGTCCAGTTATGTGCACTCATGAAAATCTGTCTGAGACACGGGGGCAGAGAACACATAAAGGACAGACCTAACACACAATTCAGACTTCAGAGCTGCTGGTTCAAATCTCAGTCACGTGCACCTTTGAAAGGCCAAGATGCATGCCATCCAGAGCCCAAGGAGTCCAGAAAGTAGGAAAGAGCACCTCCAATTTTGTAGCACAACTCTAATTCCAACAGAATGAATCACAGAATCACAGAATGGCCTGGGTTGAAAAGGACCACAATGATCATCTGGTTTCAACCCCCTGCTATGTGCAGGGTCAGCAACCAGCAGACCAGGCTGCCCAGAGCCACATCCAGCCTGGCCTTGAATGCCTCCAGGGATGGGGCATCCACAGCCTCCTTGGCCAACCTGTTCCAGTGCGTCACCACCCTCTGTGTGAAAAACTTTCCCCTTATCTCCTAAAGCAGAGATAAAGTTTTCCAGCCTTGTCCATGAGAGCGCAGTCTTATCCTTATTTTTATGTATTACACAGACAAGGTAAACAAGGAAATATGCTTTATCTTCATGTTATTATTATTGTTTTTTTTTTTTACAAGGATGTCATACATGTGCATATAGATAGCACATCAGAGGCACAAGTGCTCAAAGCAAAAGACACACCAGTTTCAAAAAGCCCATTTAAGAAGGTTTTTTAAACAGTGAGGAAGTGTACTCCTTCAACACGGCATTAATAAAGAAAAAAACAAAGAGCATTCAATTTTAAGATACTGGGGGAGAAAAAAAGAAAAGAACCCATTCTTTACCTTTTTTGTACATCCTATTCTTCCTGCGCTACTTACACTTATCCTCTTTTATATAAAGAACAATCTTCAATGGCAGGACGTTCACTAAAACAGAGCGTTATTCATCAACTAGGCAACTACAGCGTGTTTCGTAGCTGCTGCCCTCCTGCCTGCATTTCCCAGAAGTCTATCAAAACGGCCCCAACAGTCAATGACACAACCTCCTCCATCCCTGCTGCAACTATTTCGTTACCTCATCCTCAGCCACACGACCAAAGTTCACTCAAGTTCCACCTTGAGCTTTTGAGACAGGCAGCCTCGCGTTCCAAGCAACCTAAAGACGCTCCGGGACTGAGACGCCAGACGCAACCCTTACCTTCACAGAACGGAAACAAACCCAAGACCTCCCTTCACACCTCACACCGAAGCCGAGCTCGGGTTGGGAAGCTCTGCCGGTGCTCACCGGGCACTCTGCGTCACACAGACCAGCGGACGAACCCGTTCATCTCCACGGGACGAACGCGGCAACGCGAACACCCTGCCGCCAGTCTCACGCACGCACGCACACGTTACCACGGCCAGGCACGGCCCACCCGGGCCTCACGGCTGCTCACCCACACGGCTCCCAGCACGCCGGCACCGGGGCCCGCGGCTCGACCCCGAGGCGGGGCGGCGCCTCGCGCCCACAAGCCCCGCCCCTCGGAGCGCGAGCTCCAGGCCGCCCTCATTCCCGTGGCGGGCCGGTAGGCCTCCTCCGCCCTCATCTCTCCCCCGTTACCTGCGGTCGCCGCCCCTCACGCTCCCGTCGGGAGGAGCCCCGCGGCTCCCGCGCGCGGAAGAGGAGGAGGGGGAGGCCGGAGCGGGCGGTGGGAGGGGCCGGCCCCTACGCTCTGCACCGCCATGAGGTGAGGGGATGGAAGGGTGAGGACTGACGGCGTGCAGCTGCAGCGAGAGGCGAGGGCAGCCGCCTTCCCCGCGCTCGGCTGTCCCCGCCCCGCTGGTCCCGGCAGCGCCCGCCGGAAAGGGCGCGGCCGCCTCGCTCTGGGCCGGGCCGCGCCCCGCCCGTCCCGGTCACGTGGCCTCTCCCGTAAGCCTTCCCCTCTCCTTCCCCCTGGGGGTGCGGTGTGACGTCAGCACTACCGGCGGCTGCGGGCCGCGTAACCGCCGTCACCTTCAGAGCGAAGGGGAGAGCTGCCTGAGCCCGGGGCGGGACGTAACTCCGCTTAGGAACGCTATTTCTGAGCCGGCTTTGTTGCCTTCTACGGGCAACTTTTTTATATTATTATTTTTAAATAGCCATTTAATGCACTGCAGAATATTTCACAAGAAGCGTGTTTCCTCGCAGCCGCACGTCATTTGTTATGACTTGCTACCCCAAGCATCCCTTCCAAAAATCCACATTCCCCTTTCTTTTTACACTCTTACAGGAAAATTTACAGACCATATACAGTAAGATTTAAAAAAAAAAAAAAAAAAGAGAAAAAAAAGCCATTTAAATAGTTGAATGATTTGTATGATTTATTAGTCCATTTAAGCCAAATCCCACGCTCCTCATACACAGTTTCCTACCAAGACTACTTGAATCTCATATGCCTGACTGGATGTTGGCATGTTTCTCCTCAGCTTGTAGTTTAGACTCTGGAACGCAGCTCTATCAGTTGATAAGTGCCAGGCTCAGAGAGCCCTTCAGTTCCTTCAAAACTACTGATATACACCTTCCAAAGCTACCGTGGAACATTAGCCTAGATTGCCACCACTCCCAAAACGTCCACGATAGCTCCACCTGAGAGCTCTGACTTTCAAGTAGGACAGACCTGTTGGTCACATCTCCCAGTGACAACACTTTGCTAGGATTTCTCAGAACATGAGCACAGTCTGCATAGGCTGCTGCTTCATTTCTGTAAAACTCAGAAACAAAATTGGAGCAGCAATCTTGGCTTACCCTCCCACGATCCCTCATCTTGCTCATCAGCTGGACCAAAAAGGCCCCTCACTCTGTCACTTTAAGTCCTGCACTTTCCAGGACACTCAAAGAAATAATTTTTAGGCCTATTTTATGTCCTAGGGCAACATTCTATCCCCAGGCTTGAAACTAGACTGTTAGATGCAACATTAATTTTGCACTGGAACAGGTTGCCCATTGAGGTTGTGGATACTCCACCCCCAGAGGCATTCAAGGCCAGGCTGGATGTGGCTCTGGGCAGCCTGGTCTGGTGGTTGGTGACCCTGCACATAGCAGGGGGATTGAAACCAGATGATCATTGTGGTCCTTTTCAACCCAGGACATTCTATGATTCCATGATGATCTATATAACAGACAGTACGCAGCTATTTGCTAAGCACTTCACAGCTGGCTTTTCTGTGTTGTGCAAGATACCAGAACCGTGAAGTCTTTGAAAAAGTTCAATATCTGTTTAAACTCTTCTTGATTTATTTTTTTCCAGCTGTTAGTTCTGATCAACATACTGTTACTCCTTCACACAGAACACATTTTTGAGTGCTCTCAGTTCATCACAAGTCATCGCAGCCTTATTTCACTGCCAGAGGTTGTGCTTAACAGAAAATTATCAAAAAGCATCTCTTGATAATTTACAACAGCATGATACACCAGACACGTTTTCAGAGTATCTGGAAACTACTCTGAAAAGAAGAATGATAGTAAGCTACCTACCCTCATCCACTCTCACAATACCGCTGCATGTTCTTTGTACTCAGTGAATTTCACTGCAAAAGTCTGCTAGTATAAGTTATTATGCAAAGCTATGAGCAGAACTTTTCAGGGCTCAGTATCTATTGTGTATATAAACATCCCTCAAGGTTTCAGGATAAAGAGCAAGGCTGCCACTCACACAACCCTGGGAAACATCAGCAGGTTAGCAGGTTCGTGCTGCATATGAGCTAGCTGACTCTCGTGCAGTAATTTCCAACCCCATACAAACAGTGAAAGGATTGCGATAAAAAGCTATCTACCCAGAGCCTCTGTCTGGTATCCCTTGGCAAAATATCACAAGCTGGCAGAGTTTTAAAGCATCCCACCAGGGTAATAAATTCAGTGCTGTCTGTAGATGGCAGAAAACTGATGAGGAAATCAGGCAGCTGTAACGGCCTCTGGTGGCCATGTCCCTGCTGCAATTAACCAAGACAGCTGAGCAGAACAAAGGATCTGTATCTGTGAGTCTGATCCTACAAGGGTTGCGCTCCCACATGCAACTTAATAAGCTCTGCTTAAGATCTCAAAAATAAGAACAAAAACAGTAACAAACACGTCAGAAAAATCAACAGCACTTTATTTATTTTTTTCCCCTCCCCTCCACCACCTCTTGTTAAATAAAGAGAAAACGGCACCATCAGCTTTTGGTCTTTTTAACACCCTCCTCATGTGAGACGGGATGAGATGCACACACACTCATGACTGGTTATGTCACAGGCCTCAGTGGTAACAACGGTATACTCGCTTACTTTAAAAATAAATACATAAAAGGCTATTAAAAAAGGGAAATCAGAGATGCTGTGTACAGAAAGAAAACCTCTGGTTTCCTGGTCTTCCTATCTCAGTACATTGCATTAATATCAGCAGTATCTTAAAAATAAGATTTCAATCCATACCTTGTGAGGAATCCATGTCGGTCTCTTCTAACGCATGCAAATTTTATACTCAAGAGACACTTTGCTTGTTTTAAAATAACTTTTAACTTTCACCAGCAGTAATACTGGTCTGTTCCCTAAGACACAAGCCTAAAGACCGAAACAGTTCCTCATCATGATCCCACCATTTGAAAAATGACATGCCTGAAAGTCATGCTTGTGCCAGTACCTAATACAAGTAGCTATGAACTTCAGATGAAGGATTACCTGGGCGGACACCATCTTCTGAAATGATTCCCTCTGTGGAAAGCTCTCTTGGCAAGAAATTAGACCAGTCACACAGGTTTCTTTAGCCTATGTACAGGAGAGTATGATAACCTTTAAACCAGTTTGAACTGACTCAAGCTCCACCAAACACTTCTGCCAGGAGGGTTTATTTTATATGTGAGCATACCTCAAGTGCAATTAAAACATCAAGGCTGCACTTTTTGGTAGATGCCACCACATGATGACTGAGCCTTTCAGATGGTAATTGATCTGTACACATGAAAGAACAGTCCATCACCAGTAAAAGAAAGGCTACAAAAGTAAGGAAAATAGCTTGGGCTCATGAATTGGGATTAGGCTGCACCACAATTAGATGAGTGGGAAAATACTTTTTTTTTTTGGCCTGTGTGATAAAGAGGAGGAGTCACAAAACAAGCATTGAGCTAGAAATAAAATCATTTATTTTAAAACATTACAGATTAATAAATAGATTAGTTATCAGAAAACTTAATAAATAGCCTCTTATAATTTACACAAGGCAAATACAACATGCCTATAACTATTTTTTAAAAAGCAAAGAGTAAGCTTGACTGGTAAGCCATTAACAAATATATATATATATACACATTATTTGAAAGCTAATAAAATAAACCATTTGTATGTAATCCATAG